CTTTTAAAGACTCTCTAAGTAATGCCACCTACAGTGACCCTCAGTATGTGCCACAGTTTCTTCAAAACTTAAAGCACATTCTAGAGAGAGTACATAAATTTGCAAATGATAATTTATTAAAATCTCAAGATAGGATGGAGACTCATTTTGACAAACGCAGTAAAATCAGGAAATTTAAAGCAGGAGACTTCGTTTTAGCATATTTTCCGATCCCTGGTTCTCCATTGCAAAATAAGTTGTCAGAACCTTACTGCATCAAGGAGAGCAGAAACAACCACATCTACGGTCTTGAGACTCCAGATAGGCAGCGGAGGACCCAGTTGTGCCACGTCAATCTTTTGAAGGAGTTTAAAGGTATTCCCCCCACTGTGCTAGTATCTCTCTCTCTCTACCTTTAAAGATCCATACCTCCACAGTGAGACCTTCCCTGCTTCTCCTCCCGTAAGCACTAACTCTGAGTCAGTGCCTTCCAACTCGGAAATCCTTACTGATCTTCCTAAATATTTACAGGACTGTAACAGTGCTCCTCTCATCAAAGTTCTTCAAGAACATCAGAAGTTGTTCAGCGATGATCCCCAGGAGTGTAATGTGGTTCAGCACGACATCCAACTACTTCCTGAAACCCGGCCGATTCGTCAACCCTTCTACCGTATCAGCCCGTACAAAAAGGAAGTTATGCGTGCTGAAGTACAGTACTTTCTGGATCATGGGCTGGCTACCCATTGGGAGGAGTCCCTTTGGGCCTCACCCTGCATCTTGTTGCCGAAACCGCACGGTAAGGTACGACTATGTACCGACTGTAGGAAACTGATCCATGTGACCGTCAAGGATGCTTACCCTTTACCTCGTATAGATGACATCCTTGACGCAGTAGGTAATGCTAATTATCTGTCCCAAATTGATTTGTTAAAGGGCTACTATCAGATCAGCCTGACAGCAAGCTAAGGAAATATCTGCCTTCACCACTCGTTTTGGCCTGTACAGATATGAACGCCTTCCTTTTGGACTGTGTAACGCCCCAGCCACCTTCCAGCGAGCTGTCAACCGCGTCATCTACGGCCTAGATCACACCTACGCCTACTTGGATGACATCGTTGTGGCAAATAACACCTGGAGCAAACATCTGCTCCAGCTGCAACGATTGTTCTCTAAGCTCCTGACAGCTGGCCTTACCATCAACTTGGGCAAGTCCACATTTGCTAAAGGTAAAGTGCGTTATCTTGGCCATGTGATAGGGAGTGGCAGCCTAGCTCCTTTAACCATTCACACTCAAGCCATTCAGCATTACCCACAACCTACAACCAGGAAGCAGCTCCTGCGCTTCCTTGGCCTTGCATCTTACTATCGTAGGTTTGTGAACATTTTTAGTACGGTAGCGACACCATTGATTAATCTGACCAGCCCCAAGCAACGGTATCATTGGACCATTCAACAGACCGTTGCCTTTCAACAACTAAAATCTCTGCTATGTTCTGATCCCATTCTCGCCTCTCCAGATATTACGAAGCCCTTCATCATCAATGTCGACGCAAGTGGCACCGGCATCGGGGTTCATCATAAGAACTATAGCACCATAGAAAAGGAACTCCTTTCCATCGTCCTGAACCTACAACATTTCGAACCTTAGCTACAGGGTAATCGGTCTATTATCATCTACTCAGACCACAATCCTGCAATAGGCCCAATTCAGCAATCAACGTCTTCTACGCTGGGCTCTGTACCTGCATAATTTTAACCTGGAGATATTCTTCATCAAGGGCTCCGATAACATCATAACCGACGCCCTCTCAATAGTCTACGAAGTAGAGGCAGCTACTCCTACCACTCTACCACCTAACGAAGTAACTTAACCCATAAGAGCAGGTTTTGGGTGATAACTGTGACGATAATCTCTTGCAAGAGAGATTTGGCCTGCTTTTTCCTACATTACGTTACTTCAGTATGTCTATAACATCAAAATACTAATTTCAAGAGTAGTATATATGTATAGTAGATTACGTTTCTACAGGGGCATACGTCCCCTACACTCGCTCTCCAAACCCCCTCGCTGTCAGCGCACCACCCTCGTCGATAACCAAACTACCGCTTCCAGCCAGCACGCTTCCCATTGGTGAATCAGCGACTCTACTCGACTTCAGCACCATCTGCATAGCCTATGACTAAGAGTACACTAGCAGTTGGCTTTAGAATATTCTGTGCTCTCATGGCTGATACATCTATCTAGCATACGCTCTGTGTATTAGTGGAGGTTTTCAGCCAGCCAATATTCTCTGCACCTTTAACTCATTTTTTGTCTTGTTCATTGTAGAGTAACATAACCACTATTTTATTTTATATTGTTTTTTGTCTATGTATTTATGTTTAAATTGCACTGTACATAGCAAAGGGATTATCTTTGTTTATATATGTTTAAATTCAATTAAAGTTTTATTATATCTACGTTAGTTTTAACTCCAATAAAAAAAATTGACCTCATTCATAATGAAATGGGTAGCTTTATCATTTCATAAGAAAAAAATTAGAGAAAATATATATTAATTCAGGAAAATTTGGTTTATTAGGCAAATCGGGCCTTGCATATTAGGCCGAGAAGTGCACTCTGGCTACTAGGTAAGACATTATATATATATATATATATATATATATATATATATATATATATATATATATATATATATATATATATATATATATATATATATATATATATGTCGTACCTAGTAGCCAGAACGCACTTCTCAGCCTACTGTGCAAGGCCCGATTTGCCTAAAACCCAAGTTTTCCTGAATCAATATATTTTCTCATTTTTTTCTTATGAAATGGTAAAGCTACCCATTTCGTTATGTATGAGGTCAATTTTTTTTTATTGGAGTTAAAATTAACGTAGATATATGACCGAACATAACCAACCCTACCTAACCTAACATATCTTTATAGGTTAGGTTAGGTAGCCGAAAAAGTTAGGTTAGGTAGTCGAAAAACAATCCATTCATGAAAACTTGGCTTATTAGGCAAATCGGGCCTTGCATAGTAGGCTGACAAGTGCGTTCTGGCTACTAGGTATGACATTATATATATATATATATATATATATATATATATATATATATATATATATATATATATATATATATATATATATATATATATATATATATATATATATATATATATATATATATATATAATATATATATATATATATATGTCGTACCTAGTAGCCAGAACGCACTTCTCAGCCTACTATGCAAGGCCCGATTTGCCTAATAAGCCAAGTTTTCCTGAATTAATATATTTTCTCTAATTTTTTCTTATGAAATGATATAGCTACCCATTTCATTATGTATGAGGTCATTTTTTTTTATTTGCGTTAAAATTAACGTAGATATATGACCGAACCTAACCAACCAAACCTAACCTAACCTAACCTATCTTTATAGGTTAGATTAGGTTAGGTAGCCGAAAAAGTTTGGTTAGGTTAGGTTAGGTAGGTTAGGTTGTCGAAAAATAATTAATTCATGAAAACTTGGCTTATTAGGCAAATCGGGCCTTGCATAGTAGGCCGAGAAGTGCGTTCTGGCTACTAGGTACGACATATATATATATATATATGTATATATGTATATATGTGTATATATGTATATATGTATATATATAACTGAAAACTCACACCCCAGAAGTGACTCGAACCCATACTCCCACAACTGGTATGTACAGGGACGCCTTAATCCGCTTGACCATCACGACCGGACATAAGGAAGTGATATATATGTATATATAGCGGATTAAGGCGTCCCTGTACATACCAGTTGTGGGAGTATGGGTTCGAGTCACTTCTGGGGTGTGAGTTTTCAGTTGTATATAGTCCTGGGGACCATTCAGGCTTGTTTGCATTTGTGTTCCTCACGTGTGCCCCAAAGAATGAGGTGATTTGATAAAATGCTATGCCCAAGATTACCATCCGAGTGCCGGCGGGGAAGTGGTTCATATAGCCTCGGCTATCACTTCCTTATGTCCGGTCGTGATGGTCAAGCGGATTAAGGCGTCCCTGTACATACCAGTTGTGGGAGTATGGGTTCGAGTCACTTCTGGGGTGTGAGTTTTCAGTTGTATATAGTCCTGGGGACCATTCAGGCTTGTTTGCATTTGTGTTCCTCACATGTGCCCCAAAGAATGAGGTAATTTGATAAAATGCTGTGCCCAAGATTACCATCCGAGTGCCGGCGGGGAAGTGGTTCATATAGCCTCGGCTATCACTTCCTTATGTCCGGTCGTGATGGTCAAGCGGATTAAGGCGTCCCTGTACATACCAGTTGTGGGAGTATGGGTTCGAGTCACTTCTGGGTGTGAGTTTTCAGTTGTATATAGTCCTGGGGACCATTCAGGCTTGTTTGCATTTGTGTTCCTCACGTGTGCCCCAAAGAATGAGGTGATTTGATAAAATGCTATGCCCAAGATTACCATCCGAGTGCCGGCAGGGAAGTGGTTCAAATAGCTTCGGCTATCACTTATGTCCGGTCGTGATGGTCAAGCGGATTAAGACGTCCCTGTACATACCAGTTGCGTTGCTCCTGGCAGTATGGGTTCGAGTCACTTCTGGGGTGTAAGTTTTCAATTGTATATAGCCCTGGGGACCATTCAGGCTTGTTTGCATTTGTGTTCCTCATGTGTGACCCAAAGAATGAGGTGATTTGATAAAATGCTATGCCCAAGAATACCATCCGAGTGCCAGCGGCGAAGTGGTTCAAATAGCTTCGGCTATCACTTCCTTATGTCCGGTCGTGATGGTCAAGCGGATTAAGGCGTCCCTGTACATACCAGTTGCGTTGCTCCTGGCAGTATGGGTTCGAGTCACTTCTGGGGTGTGAGTTTTCAGTTGTATATAGTCCTGGGGACCATTCAGGCTTGTTTGCATATATATATATATATATATATATATATATATATATATATATATATATATATATATATATATATATATATATATATAAAATACTTACCATCACTATGAGGCTGTTGAATGATTGCCGAAGAGCTAGCAGCAGTGCAGAGCAGCAGCAGCAGTAGACAGCAGTAGCAGCAACAGTGAGCAGTAGCCTTGATGATGTTAGCCATTTCTGTTTGAGATGCATATTTTAGAGAACAATCAATATGGAAAATAAACAACATTTAGCAAATACTTTTGTGAATTATTTTGTTCTGCAATCTTTGCAATGAATCTATTGTCTCATTTAATTTTCTGGGGCAACTGATTATAGATGACAGGTCAAACGCCAGAGGGGAAATTAGCCTCGGCTACCATCATCTTATGTCCGGTCGTGATTGTCGAGTGATTAAGGTGTCCTGTACACCAGTTGCAGAGTGCTCATGGTAATATGGGTTCGAGTCACTTCTGGGGTGTGAGTTTTCAGTTGCATATATGCCTGGGGACCATTCAGGCTTGTTCGCATTTATGTTCCTCACGTGTGCCTCAAAGAATGAGGTGATTTCATAAAATATTATGCCCAAGATTACAATCAGACTGTCCACGGCATGATAGGGAATTAGCCTCGGCTACCATCATCTTTTGTCCGGTCGTGATGGTCGAGTGGTAAAGGTGTCTTGTACAACAGTTGCAGAGTGCTCCTATGCAACTGGAAATATAGTGAATATATGTTGTACCTAGTAGCCAGAACGTCGTACTCGGCCTACTATGCAAGGCCCGATTTGCCTAATAACCCTTGTTTTCCTGAATTTATGTATTTTTCAATATATTTTTCTTATAGAATGATAAAGCTGTCCATTTCATTATGTATGAGTTATTTTTTTTTTTTTAATTTGAGTTAAAACTATCGTAGATATATGACCGAATCTAACCAACCTACCTAACCTAACCAAACCTATGTTAGTCTAACCTAAACTAATTCAATTAAGTCAATAATTTATGTTCTTAATATAATATAATAATAATAATTCAAATATACTAATTGGAAGGAATTTATTGAAAATAAAGAAAATCACTCAGCCTATTTGGGAAATCGGGCCTTGCATACTTGGCAATGAAGTGTATTCTGGCTACTAGGTACTAGGTATACATATATATATATATATATATATATATATATATATATATATATATATATATATATATATGTCGTACCTAGTAGCCAGAACTCACTTCTCAGCCTACTATGCGAGGCCCGATTTGCCTAATAAGCCAAGTTTTACTGAATTAATATATTTTCTCTAATTTTTTCTTATGAAATGATAAAGCTACCCATTTCATTATGTATGAGGTCAATTTTTTTTATTGGAGTTAAAATTAACGTAGATATATGACCGAACCTAACCAACCCTACCTAACCTAACCTAACCTATCTTTATAGGTTAGGTTAGGTTAGGTAGCCGAAAACGTTAGGTTAGGTTAGGTTAGGTAGGTTAGGTTGTCGAAAAAACATTAATTCATGAAAACTAGGCTTATTAGGCAAATCGAGCCTTGCATAGTAGGCTGAGAAGTGAGTTCTGGCTACTAGGTACGACATATATATATATATATATATATATATATATATATATATATATATATATATATATATATATATATATATATATATATATATATATATATATATATATATATATATATATATGCGAACAAGCCTGAATGGTCCCCAGGACATATGCAACTGAAAACTCACACCCCAGAAGTGACTCGAACCCATACTCCCAGAAGCAACGCATCTGGTATGTACAAGACGCCTTAATCCACTTGACCATCACGACCGGACATAATGAGGTGATAGCCGAGGCTATTTGAACCACCCCACCGCCGGCACTCGGATAGTTATCTTGGGCATAGCATTTTACCAAATCACCTCATTCTTTGGGGCAACACGTGAGGAACACGGCGGTGGGGTGGTTCAAATAGCCTCGGCTATCACCTCATTATGTCCGGTCGTGATGGTCAAGTGGATTAAGGCGTCTTGTACATACCAGATGCGTTGCTTCTGGGAGTATGGGTTCGAGTCACTTCTGGGGTGTGAGTTTTCAGTTGCATATGTCCTGGGGACCATTCAGGCTTGTTCGCATTTGTGTTCCTCACGTGTTGCCCCAAAGAATGAGGTGATTTGGTAAAATGCTATGCCCAAGATAACTATCCGAGTGCCGGCGGTGGGGTGGTTCAAATAGCCTCGGCTATCACCTCATTATGTCCGGTCGTGATGGTCAAGTGGATTAAGGCGTCTTGTACATACCAGATGCGTTGCTTCTGGGAGTATGGGTTCGAGTCACTTCTGGGGTGTGAGTTTTCAGTTGCATATGTCCTGGGGACCATTCAGGCTTGTTCGCATTTGTGTTCCTCACGTGTTGCCCCAAAGAATGAGGTGATTTGGTAAAATGCTATGCCCAAGATAACTATCCGAGTGCCGGCGGTGGGGTGGTTCAAATAGCCTCGGCTATCACCTCATTATGTCCGGTCGTGATGGTCAAGTGGATTAAGGCGTCTTGTACATACCAGATGCGTTGCTTCTGGGAGTATGGGTTCGAGTCACTTCTGGGGTGTGAGTTTTCAGTTGCATATGTCCTGGGGACCATTCAGGCTTGTTCGCATTTGTGTTCCTCACGTGTTGCCCCAAAGAATGAGGTGATTTGGTAAAATGCTATGCCCAAGATAACTATCCGAGTGCCGGCGGTGGGGTGGTTCAAATAGCCTCGGCTATCACCTCATTATGTCCGGTCGTGATGGTCAAGTGGATTAAGGCGTCTTGTACATACCAGATGCGTTGCTTCTGGGAGTATGGGTTCGAGTCACTTCTGGGGTGTGAGTTTTCAGTTGCATATGTCCTGGGGACCATTCAGGCTTGTTCGCATTTGTGTTCCTCACGTGTTGCCCCAAAGAATGAGGTGATTTGGTAAAATGCTATGCCCAAGATAACTATCCGAGTGCCGGCGGTGGGGTGGTTCAAATAGCCTCGGCTATCACCTCATTATGTCCGGTCGTGATGGTCAAGTGGATTAAGGCGTCTTGTACATACCAGATGCGTTGCTTCTGGGAGTATGGGTTCGAGTCACTTCTGGGGTGTGAGTTTTCAGTTGCATATGTCCTGGGGACCATTCAGGCTTGTTCGCATTTGTGTTCCTCACGTGTTGCCCCAAAGAATGAGGTGATTTGGTAAAATGCTATGCCCAAGATAACTATCCGAGTGCCGGCGGTGGGGTGGTTCAAATAGCCTCGGCTATCACCTCATTATGTCCGGTCGTGATGGTCAAGTGGATTAAGGCGTCTTGTACATACCAGATGCGTTGCTTCTGGGAGTATGGGTTCGAGTCACTTCTGGGGTGTGAGTTTTCAGTTTGATATATATATATATATATAACTGAAAACTCACACCCCAAAAGTGACTCGAACCCATACTCCCAGGAGCAACGCAACTGGTATGTACAAGACGCCTTAATCCACTTGACCATCACGACCGGACAAAATGAGGTGATAGCCGAGGCTATTTGAACCACCCCACCGCCGGCACTCGGATAGTAATCTTGGGCATAGCATTTTACCAAATCACCTCATTCTTTGGGGCACACGTGAGGAACACAAATGCGAACAAGCCTGAATGGTCCCCAGGACAATATGCAACTGAAAACTCACACCCCAGAAGTGACTCAAACCCATACTCCCAGGAGCAACGCAACTGGTATGTACAAGACGCCTTAATCCACTTGACCATCACAACCAGAGAAAATGAGGTGATAGCCGAGGCTATTTGAACCACCCCACCGCCGGCACTCGGATAGTAATCTTGGGCATAGCATTTTACCAAATCACCTCATTCTTTGGGGCACACGTGAGGAACACAAATGCGAACAAGCCTGAATGGTCCCCAGGACAATATGCAACTGAAAACTCACACCCCAGAAGTGACTCGAACCCATACTCCCAGGAGCAACGCAACTGGTATGTACAAGACGCCTTAATCCACTTGACCATCACGACCGGACAAAATGAGGTGATAGCCGAGGCTATTTGAACCACCCCACCGCCGGCACTCGGATAGATGGTCAAGTGGATTAAGGCGTCTTGTACATAGCAGTTGCGTTGCTCCTGGGAGTATGGGTTCGAGTCACTTCTGGGGTGTGAGTTTTCAGTTGGATATTGTCCTGGGGACCATTCAGGCTTGTTCGCATATATATATATATATATATATATATATATATATATATATATATATATATATATATATATATATATATATATATATATATTTATATATATATATGCAACAATGATCACAAAAACACTGATCCAAGTATGGAGAATAACCACATGTGAAAAATAGAAAATGCTTAACGCGTTTTCGGCTAATTCGCCTTCATCAGAGCAAAGTAGAATATTCTACTTTGTACATTCTACATTCTACATTGTATATTCTACAAAGTAGAATATACTACTTTTAATATTCTATATATATATATATATATATATATATATATATATATATATATATATATATATATATATATATATATATATATATATATATATATATATATATATATATATATATATTATATATATATATGACCAAAAAAGTAAGATTAATAATTCTAACACGAATTTTCTCAATCTTTCGTACATTTCTTTTCACTGTTGGAGGTAATTCAAAAATCAATTGTCCAAAATTCATTTTTATTTCTAGTCTGACGCGACACTTGAGCGCGTTTCGTAAAACTTTCATTTACATTTTCAAAGACTTTAGTTAAGAAATACACAACTGAATAGAACTTACATATCTCCGATTTTGTTTATATCTACATTTGAGTGAGGTGGATGGGGTGAGGTGGTATTTAATAAGGTATTAATTTCATCAACACAAGCCAGAACATGAAACAATGGGTATTGAAAAGAAGTGATTGTAGAAAGCCTATTGGTCCATATTTCTTGATGCTTCTTTATTGGAGCGGAGTCTTGAGGTGGGTAGAATATAGTAGTGCATTAATTGGCTGTTGATTGCTGATGTTGACTTCTTGATGTGTAATGCCTTGCAAACGTCAAGCCGCCTGCTATCGCTGTATCTGTCGATGATTTCTGTGTTGTTTACTAGGATTTCTCTGGCGATGGTTTGGTTGTGGGAAGAGAT